TGTAACAATCATACCATACTAGCTATATTTTACTGAGCAAGTACTAGGCTCCAGGCCCTGAGATAAATGCTTTGTCTGAGCTGTAAATCACATCTTCCTTGGACAGCATAGTGTATTAGGCACTCAGATCTTTATATGATGATAAGAACTTGGAGGCTGAAGGTGTTTAAGAGATTTATCTGAGGTCACATCCTGATAAGTGGCAGGACATGGATTAACAATTGCATCTATATGACTCACAACCTATTCTTCATACTCTACCTTCTGCTTTTTCCATTAGTTAGAGAAATTGTAAATCTTAAGTAGTTTAAAAAGAAATGTGGAGTTACAGGTTTTATTCAAGGCCAGAGGTCCACGATGCTTCTTCGAGAAATGGATGTTTATGTGTAATAACCTGCTCTAAGCAGGTGACCACGTCATTAATCAGAATTGCTCCCTAACTGCTGTGGCCAGGTGAGGGTTAGCGGCGTTTTTCAGGATCTTATGGCACTACGAGAGGAGAGATGCATTTTTCAACTGACATTGCCAGGAAAAATTTAAAATACACCTCCTACCCTGCCAACATGTTGAACTTTGACCCACGTGTATCTACATAGAGAATCCAAACAAACAAAAACCCATATAGGCTCAACCATAGAACTGGTTGCTTGATTAAACAGAACTAAATTTTACCGCCACTCTTCAATTCCAAGAACAGGCAGACTGGAATTGGCAAAACCTTCTTCAGAAATCAACGGACAATTTGGCGCTTAAAGAACTATGCACTGAACAACGTAATAAACAATCACAATTTCAGTAATAAGTTTCCTGACACAACAGACTGGCACTTTGCACAGTTGTAATGAGAAAACAGCAGCTGAGGAACCACAGAAAAGGAGCTAGACTTTACTGGAATACAGATCATACTGAGCTAATTAATGATTTTCACAAATGCCTTGTTGATTAGATATTAAAGTAAAAATCCCTTATATAATTTCTATATTTAGGGACACCATATAATTTTTCATCCAAGCCAGGATTTTTCTGATAATGAAGAAAGCTCTATATTTATTTTTCTAAGACAACAGGAGGAAAGACGGGCTCACTTGAGCAAAGCAGGATACACGATTCTTTTATTTATAGTTGTCACGTATTAGTGTGTAGAATCAAGAAGTCAAAAAATGCCTTGGAGTTGGAGAAATGATGACTTCTAATACTGGGTCAACCTTTAGTTGTGTGACTTTGGGTGAATTAATTACTTTCACTGAAAAATGAAAAGAAGAAAAATACCTAACTTGAAGGCTTGTGAGAATTAAAAATTATATCTATAACATAATTAACACAGTGCCTGGCTTGCTTAAAACACTCAATAAGTAGACATATTTAGAATCCTACTTCTCATTGTGTAGCTTAATTTATTATCATCAATCTATTTGTAATATTAATGTAGCTCTGAGTGTTGGGATCCTATGTTTTGAAACTTGAAAGGGATAGAAAGCTCTGACTCTAATGTACCAAACTTCTACGCTCAGATCCGTCAAAAGTAAATCATACTGGGCCAGCTCCGTCACCGAGTGGTTAAGTTTGCGCGCTCCGCTGCAGCAACCCAGGGTTCGGATCCTGGGTGCGGACATGGCACCACTCGTCAGGCCACTTTGAGGCGGAGTCCCACATCCCACAACTAGAAGGACCTACAACTAAGATATACAACTATGTACGGGGGGTTTGGAGAGATAAAGCAGAAAAAAAAAAGTAAATAGTACTCCTTAAAAATTCTGTCTTCCTAAGATTAATTGTATATAGGTGTATTGAGTTTAAGGATCAAAGTAATGATATTCTACTTTGACTAGTGAAAAGCTATAGGATGTCCATATTAATATGATTAGAAGGAAACATTAGAATTAAATTGGTTTAATAAAGTCCAATTCATTCCATAATCTGAAGCAAAAATGTACTATTTTAGTATATAAATAAAATAAGACAGTGATATTATGTATAGTCAAGAAATAAAATAAACACTGAACTTCAGTTAATTAATACATGTGAAATAGATTTTAGAAACATGGATTTAAGATATGAAAACTTCAGAAAAGTAAAGTGGAATTAGTTTCCAATTTTCAAGATTTACTTACTTCACCTCTTGTAAGCCAAAGCCAGTGATTTTTTTTTAATGGTTATGGACCTATATCCACATTCAGGTATGTCTATAAGTGTTGTTTGCTTTTGTTTTGGCATATACTATATATTATTTACTTCTCAGCATTTAGAATAATGACAATTGTGTAATTCCAAGACTAAGAAATTTAATGGGGCAAATTCTTAGTTAAAATGTTCTCTATTACTTTGTTTTTAATCAACTATAAGCTAAAGGATCAAAACTGCAAGAGAAAACGTAAAAAGAGGACATGTTATTTTCCTAGGATAGCGCTCTTACAACTTGTGTATTCTCATAGCTATAACACAGCATAGGAAAGTACAAACGAGGTGATCTATTTTTTTCAAGAAAGTTTTAAAGATATACAATTTAAGGCCATAGTTTCTTCATTTTTCACAGTGCAATCCATTTGCCAACCCTTTCAGCCTTTCCCTTTTCAGAACCCTGAACAACCAAGCTACATCTTACTGTGAACAAATTAGTTTTGACACCTTGAGACATTTAATTATTTGCAAAAGTGAGTCAGATGAAGGTGAAGTTGAGAGAAATGTTTTAAGCTCTAGGAAGATATATATGCTCAAAATTCCGTTAGTGAAAAGTCCATAAATAAACATAATGGAAATGTACAAAGTTTCAAATTTTTAGGAAATGAACATATTACAAAATAGAAATGTAAGGTTTAGCAGGTAATCAGAGTCTTTGCATCCTACTATTCAGAAGTCTTTTTCAGAGGTGCAGGAAATCTCAGAGAACGAAGTGAATGTGGTGTTCATTTAGCACAGCCATTCATTTTACAGTGGCGGGAACTGAGGTGCAGAGAGGGTAAGGGATTTGCCAGGAGGTTAGGGTCACTTGCCAGTGTCTATCAAATTCAGTGAGAGAAACAACATCTAGGTTTCTTATTTGCCCTATATTATTTTATTAATTTCATTTGCCAATAACAATAGCAATTTAGGGGCATCTGAAGTCTGATGCTATGGATAACCTTTTTAATGAGAAAGTTGTGCTAATTAAATTTGTATAATCATAAAAAGGGTATAGCTAATTTTTCCAAATACATCTATGGCTATGCTGATTTAAATGGCTATAATTAGAGAATTCTGAGAATTTTTAATCTATTAACTATTTCATTCATTTATTAATTAATAATTAGTAAATGTTTATTAAATGAACTATTTTGTGAATACGTGTGTGTGTGTGTATGTGTATTCTAAAGTTTGTTTTCCCTTACAATTTTTACAATCTTAAAAAAGTGTTAGGGGCTGGCCCCACCGCCTGGAGGTTGAGTTTGGCACACTCCGCTTCAGTGGCCTGGGTTCTATTCCCGGGCACAGACCTACACCACTCATCAGCAGCCATGCTGTGGCAGCAACCCACACACAAAATACAGGAAGATTGGCACAGATGTTAACTCAGAGTGACTCTTCCTCAATAAAAAGAAAGCAAAAGAAAGATCGCCTTCTTCTGAGAGTGATAATTAGTTGAATTTGGTACATAAGATTAATATTTCAATTGATGCTTATTCATATTCATCCATGTCAGTTAAAATGTTTTAAGGTATGAGATGCAAAATATGTCATGAAAACACAGTTTTTCGTATTTTGGCCTGTCGATATATTTAAGATATAATGTGAAATATAATTAAGCCTTTTGCATTAAAGTGTATGAGAAACATTATCACATCATTTTTATCATACTTATAAGTGTAAGTATATTCAGCTTGAAACTGTTAAAAGTAAGTCTAGATAAGTCTAGGTAGAAGTGTCAATAGAAAAATACAAGCAGCAATATATAAATATCATATAATAAAAGAGACTATAAGTCTAGGACAAAATGTCCTTTTTATATATGCTGATTTTTTTCTGTTCACAATTCACACATGAATATTCTGCATACATTATATTCCTTAATACTGAAATACTTGGAAATTTTCTTTAAACGTGCCCAAATTCAAAGTTACTAATTGTTTAATGAAGACATTCCCTACTATTTTCTACATGAAAAGGGGTAATGTTATTTTAGAAATAGTGCGGACTTTACTCCTTTTGTGATCATTCGTCTGGCTTACTTTTCATAGTCATTTTCATTTTCCATTGCATTACAGCATTGTGAAATGTTTATAGAATCCCCCACTATAATAAAAAGATTGGTAGATTTCTAATCGCTTTAAATGATGCATACACGTATCTTTGTTTTGTAAAATATATTTAAAAAATACTCCTTTTTTAATGCTGAATGATGAAGTTGTCGAACTACTCCCACATCCAGGAAGCTGTGGATTATCCATGTATCTAGCTGTGCATAGCTCTATAGATTTATTCTTTGTCCATTTATTGCATCGTTGAAATGTTTTTACAGAAAAAATTCTCTTAGCAAGATTATAATAAAAATTACTTCGACTTTTGAAGAACAGAGGCTGTCATGGTTAATGACACACAAAGTTCTGCTCGAAGTTTCCTTAACATCTCAATAAAGTATTTTGAGATTTTACAATTATTCTGATGTTATAGAATCACATGTGATTTGTTTTCTATTTAATTATTTTTATTAATATCTATTAAGGTAATTTTCCATTTATTTGTTTGAAAAATTCTATGTTCACAGTTAATTTGAACACAACTTTATTTACTTCTCTAGGAAGGAAAATAGGGAAAATTGTCAACACGTTATGTAACTAAGGACAATATTCAACACATTAAACAAAGATAGGAGTAGTCATTTTTTTCAGACAATAACTAGCAGCAAATACTTCGATACTATAATTGACATCCATAAACTACTTTCCTGGAAGCATCTAAAAGTAATTTGCAGGAATTACTTAATTAGCCTCTCAGCAGTTCCCAGCAGTGGATTGCATTGTAATTACAGTGTACTTTGTATTCACAGTACTGATGGAGAGCATGAGCGCAGATATCTGTACAGCGCTACACGTGCAAAGGAAGCCGGGACCCGGTCAATAGGAAACCCTGCACGGGCACATTCCTCACACTTGTTCGCTAAGGGGGACAGGTAACCAAGGTTGTTTTGTGTACTCTTCCTCCTCGTTAGTTCAGTTATGCCCCGAAATACTTTAACGACTTTCGCATTTTTTCTGTTCTCTTTGCTCTCTGTCACAGACAAAAAAATTTAGATGTTTTGAAAAATAACTCACTGAGAATATACACTTCATCTTGTTTTCATAGTCTAAGAAAGAGGGAGAGGCAGATACAGAGGGAGACACAGAAGGAAAGAGTACAAATTTAGGAAAAGTCATTGGCAAATGAAATTAAATGCCCAAAGCATGAAAGCTTATAGAAAGTTCAGGAAATACTTATTACATTTGATGAGTCCATAGTGGACAATACATCGGAAGTGTACTAAATGGAGTAATTGGAACAAATGCTTCTTTCCTTTCTGTATCCAGGCAGTTGGTCACATAACCCTGCATTTTCTCCCTTTAGAGGCAGAGGTAATTTCTCTAACCTTTGTCTTTGGACTGGGGCATGTGGTTCCCTGATTCAAAGGGTGCTAGCAGACATTGTGCAAATTGAGGCTTAAAATGGACTTGCACAGTTGGACTTTCCTTCATGTGGTTCTTGTATTGCCACAGTAAGAAGATGTCTCTGGGGCCCATCCAGTGGCATAGCAGTTAACTTCGCATGCTCCGCTTCAGAGGCCCACGGTTTGCCTGTTCCGATCCTGGGTGTGGACCTATACACACTTATCAAATCATAGTGTGGCAGGCGTCCCGCATATAAAGCAGAGGAAGATGGGCAAAGGTGTTATAACGTTCAGGGCCAATCTTCCTAGCAAAAAGAGGAGGTTTGGCGGTAGATGTTAGCTCAGGGCTAATCTTCCTCAAAAGAAGAAGAAGAAGAAGAAGAAGAAGAAGAAGAAGAAGAAGAAGAAGAAGAAGAAGAAGAAGATGATGCCTCTGCTAGCCTGCTGATACATAGAGGATGGGAGACAGATGAAAGAAACTGGCAATCTCCAGCTTGGAGCTAAGCCCAGATGAGCTCACCCTAAATAAACTTACGTACAAACACACAGATGAAAATGAATGATTCCCATTTCAGGATCCAGAATTCTGGGGTAGTTTGTTTCACAATATTATTTTGGCAACATTTGACCGATATAGAATGACACAGTGGAAATTGTAAGTTAGATTCAGGATACAGAGAGACTTCTATTTTAGATTTCATTTTTCTCTAAGAAACTGTTCATTTTTGCATTTGTATACGCATTCACATGTTAGAGATAAACTAAACAAGAGCTTTAATTTACAATTTGATTTCAGTGTCAGTAGTTAGAAGGCTCTATTACATGGTGACTTCAACTTGTTTCTGGTCTTGACCTTAAAGAAACAGACAGCCAATTATTTCTCCAGCAAAAATGGCTTCACCTGGGATCAGCCAAGAACTGCAATTTGGAGTCTGCAACTATGGCGAGCCACATGCAAGTCTTGAGCAACAAGGGGAGGAGAAACCCTCTTATAGAGGGGCAAAGAAAGTTGGGAGAGCTATTGTAAGCCAAAAGTCCATTCGAGGAGACTGGGAGATCAAAGCGTGGCGGCTTTTCATTGGCTGTGTTGTGACAGTCTCTCATTGGCTATTACTGGGCAGGAAGAGGAAGTCTTCTTCCTGTTGGGCTCTGCAATGGTTAATACATGTGAGAGCTCTCCTTTCTGGCCTCTCAACTCTATTTTCAGTGAGGTTTCTGTTTATTGACTTTCACACTGCTATTGCTGATCGAGCATATTCTTGACTAATAACTGTGAAATCTTTTAGGTTATCTTCATTTCAAATTAGAATAAAACACCAATACCATGAGCAAAGCTTGTTGGTAAAATGATGCTAATAGCTATATATTGACTTTCAGATATTGGTGAAATATTTGAGTCACACAAATGTTAAAGCTCATGAAACAAGCATGATGAAGTCCATGAGTGAGGTAGGAATTGCAAAAATTTAATACTTTTTTAACCCTTTATTTGTGACTATCACATAGCCTAATCTTACAGAATTACTGAATGTGGGGAAGAAAGAAGCCCGTTTTCATTATCTTTCCTCAAAGACAAGACACTAGTTAAAAATGATATTAAAAGCACATTTTCATGTAGTTACAATTTCTTTTCTGGTGATGAGACCTTTTAAGATCTACCTTAGCGATTGTATCTCAATAAAGCGGAAAAAAATTTTTGCCTTGTCACAAACTTGTACATGATGTTGAAAGAAAATGAAAAAGCAACTACTGATGGTGTTTCTGATATGATACATCATGAAGTATATGTGCTAAAATATTTAATCTAAATATAATTAATTCCTTAAACCTTGTTTCTAAATTATAGGAAATAAATGGAATTAAGAAGAAATCATTAAGTAAATCCAGAAGCAGGACAATCTATAAGACAACTGTCACTAGTTCATAAGAAATTGATGTCACAAAATACAAAAGTTGAAGCAAGCTGAGAGTCGAAAAGTGACTAAGAAGATATAACAACCAAATTCAACGAGTGAAATTAAATTGTATCATATATCTAAAAATATTTATGAAGTCATTGTTGGAAAAACTCAAAGTATAAATATACTATCTAGGCATGAAGTATCATGGAATCTATACGTGAATTGCAAGTGATTTAAAATAAATAAAAGAGAGACAGAGAAAAAGAGAGAGGGGGAGAGTCAGCAAATAAGGCTCGAGGTCAACCGTGAAATCTGTGCAGAAGGAGTAAAATTATTTATTTAACTATTTTATATACTTAAGTGTTTTGATAATAAAAATTGAGGGAAAATCAACAGCATAATTTCAACAATATCCAAAAAGTAAGTTTAAATTTCTACTCACACACGCAAAAAGCAAATACTGTACTTTGTAAATAATAACACAAACTGGGGACAAATTTTATTTTACAAGCAGTCATAATCGATATGTTGCTGGAACCACTCGTTGACAGTCAAGGGGATTCTAATTTGCTACTTGCTCTAAAGAGCCCTTAACATTTTGTATCAGGAAAGGTGCATTATTCAATGTGTGTAAAATAAAAGGCATGTCTTCGTAGTTAAAAATTCAGAGATTATCTGTCTATTTTGAAAACCAATCACTTCCTTCTTTGGCCACATTTCTTGATTCATATTATAAGCATGAGCTTTAATCAGGCAGCAGGCGTATGAGAAACACCAGAAGTAAAAGATCTAATGAGGATAACAATCCAAACTCAATTCAGGAAATGTTCGGAAAGCATCTTCCCTGAGCTACGAACCCTTTTACTTTGTGAGATTATTTGAATCAATCTACTTGACCACAAACAATGAAATGTTTCAAGTCCAAGTGTGGAAAAAAAGAGAAATCTTTGTCAAGTTCATTTACTATTAGAGAATTAGGACAAACAACCAGGTGGCAGCCACTTCAGAGCTGACCAAAATCTAATGTGGTTCTCCACACCCCTCTGGAGAAAGTGGGTGTTATGTAGAATGTTGCCATCTTGTGCATGCTGTGAGATGCGCCAATGCTGAGAAATAATTTTCCTTTAAAAAATCTGACTAAAAACAACTTTTTAAATTTATATTTGATAATAAAAATTTTCTGCTTTTAGATTTAATTCTTAATCTCAGAAGCTTATTCTTTTTAGCAATGTTTGCCATTGATCTGGGCTTTGACAGGGAATTAATTTTAATATACGCCCATTTCATTTGGTAAAAATGTATACTTGCAGCATCACTAAATCATACAAATATAAAATTAATTATAAATATTAAATACATTATATTTAAATGCATATAACCATTTTTCAAACACCTTATTTAATTTTAAAATTGTTGACATTTTACTTTTTCCAATAAATTTTATCTAACTTTATCTTCTTCAAATATTTAAGTACGTCAAATAATTTTGTTATGCTAGCTTAATTTTACCTTGTTTTCCATTTCATTTTTAACATATTCAGTTTACCTGTATAAGTGTTCTAGTATTAGAAAGTCAAAGAAATTGGCAAGTTAGGATGCTTTCAAAGGGAAATTTAGTATTAGTATCAGCGATGGCAGTGATACTGTGAAGTATTAGAAATAACATACTAAATATTTGCAGATAGGGTGGCTATATAGAATGAGTCTTGAGTTAAGTGTGATGCTTTAGTCATACACTTTATTGTATTTGCTCATCTCTCAGAGGTATTCACTAAAACTGGGGCGCTAATCATGTGAAGAAATGCGCATTCTCCGTGCTTTAGAATTTCATTCCCTGTGTACCAAGTACAAGAACCTGTAGTTTTCTCAAGAAACTTTACCTTCAAACTCTCTACATAAAAGAGCATTATGAATATTTTTATCATCTGTATTTTAACATTAAGTAAATAACTCAAATAAAGATTGGCTTGGCGTGTAACCGGTTTTAAGTGTGTCTAGTGGAAATTAGAAAGGTCTTTTTCTTTAAATGATAGATTTGTGATCACTGACTTAGCCTCCGTATCTGTCACTGGTCTGTTCAGTTGTCTGTTTCCTCATGAGTGAGACTGGGTAGGTTGTTGCTAGGAACTACTCAGTCTGCTGGGTCACCCGGTGTGTTAGTGAGCAAGAGCTCAGAAGCGTCTCTATGATCTTATTTCTGAAGCATCGATTGTGGGGCCTCCTCTTTCTCTTCTCATTTACTTTACTTGATTGTTCTCTCTTTTCTTCTGTCAGGCGTTCTGTCTTCTAAGGGCTGGTCAATTTTATTTTTTCAAAAAATTGACTCATCCTTTTGATCTTTTGTCTTTCTCCTCTATTTGCTTTCTTCTGTTCTCACCTTTGTGACTTCCATCCTTCTGTTAGCTTTGGATTCAGTTTTCCCTTTTCCTAGTTCTGTGTGTTGTCACTTAGGTTGTCAATTTGAGGTCCTTCTTCTTTAAGACGTTACAAGTTGATCACTGTAAACTTCCCTCAGTATTATTTTTGCTGCATCCCATAATTTTGGTGTGTTTTTAATTCTTTTTGTTTGTCTTGAGCTATTTTTTAATTTCCCTCTTGATTTCCTCTTTGACCTAATGTCTGTGTAAGAGGCTGCTGTTTAATTTGCATCTCTCATTAACGATCCAGGTTTCCTCCCCATGTTGATTTCTAGTCTCACGCCATTGTGTTCAGGACAGATGCTTGGTATGATTTCAATCGTCTTAATTTGGCTAAGATTTGTTTTGTGACCTCAAACGTGCTCTCTTCTGGAAAATACTCTGTTTGCTCTTGAGAAGAAGGTGTATTCTGCTGCTCTTCAATAAAATGTTCTTAGTATTTAATGTCATTTATTTCTGCCGTGTCCTTATTTTCCGTCTGGATGTTCTATCCATTGTTGAAAGTGGGGTGTTGAATTCTCCGACTTTCAACTTGTATAATCTAGTCGTCAGAATACATAATTATCTCTTGGAAGTCAATAATAAAAGACAAATAATACAATTAAAATAGGCAAATGGTTGAAATAGACATTTCTCCAGAAGATATGCAGATGGCCAATAAGCACAAGAGAGATGCTCGATGTCATTCATGATTAGGGAAAGGGAAATTCAAACCACAATGTGCTACTGTTTCGAACTCAATGTGTAGGCTGTATTCAACATAAAGGAAAATCACAAGTGTTGGTAAAGATGAGGAACAAGGGGAGCCCTCATACATTGCTGGTGGGAACGTAAAATGATGCAGCCACTGTAGAGAACAGCTTTGCATTTCTTAACATCTTCAAGCAATCATTGACTTTGAGTTGGACAGTCCATTGTGAGGCATCTCCAAAAGAACATGGAAAACATATCTTCGCAGGAAAACCTGTCCATGGACATTCAAAGCAGCATTTTTCACAGTAGTACAAAAATGAAATAAACCCAATTTCCCACCAAATTATGAACACATAAGGCAAATGTGGCATATTGATACTATGGGATATAACACAGCCCTAAAAAGGAAGAAAGCACTGCCACGTGCTAGGCCCTGGATGATCCTCAAAAAAGTGTGCTAACTGAAGTGGTACACAAAGCCACAGATTCTATGATTCCATTTGAATGAAATGCCCAGAATAGCAAATCTGCAGGGAGAGGAAACAGATAAGGTCTTTCCGTGGACTTGGTTTAGGGCAAAACACAGAGACAGCAAGGCTGGGTTTCTTTTCAAGGTATTAAACATGTTCTGGAATTAGATAGTAGTGATAGCCACACAACATTATCATTGTCCTAAACCTCACTGACTTGTGTACTTTCAAATACTTAAAATGGTGTATTTTATGTTGAGCAGATTTTCTTCAGTGAAAATGTGAAATTAGGGTAATTCATGCAGCTATTAGGGGTAAGGCATGGTGTAGCCCTGAGAGTAAACAGTAAAAAGAGAGGCAAGTACTATAATCTCACAAGCAACCATCTGAGATCCAGTCCATAGTCATGGTCACCACCTTGAAAAGACCAGCCATGAAAATAGCTCAGTGGTCTTGGGGGCCCTGGGAATCTGTTCTGAGATCTCAGTAATACTCGGCAGTATTCTCACCTCTTGGACTCTCTGGTGTAGGTAGGTTTGAACTTGTCAGTTGTTGATGTACATGCAGGTGGTAGACCATGGGAGGGCCCCGACCCCTCCTTCCTTGGCCAGTATAGGTAGTCTGAGGCCAGGTGGCTTCCTAAAATCATTTGGCAGAGACTTAGGCGACTGTCCCACAAGGAGTAGAATAGAGTCTCATGGAGCTGCTGTCCGTGTTGGGTTATGTTTGTCCATAAAATGTTAAATAGACTCTAATTCATAAAGACAAAACTGTGTCACGGGAATTAGGAATATTTATCTTGCTACTCCCTTATGAACTTTCTGAATATTCCAGGAAGACAGAAACTTTTAGAAAGAAGAATGACAACTAAAAATAAATCAAATTAATATATATATGTGTGTTAATATATATTATATATATATGTACACATAAATTAGATAAGAAAAGGATGAATAAACCATTAATCTATGTCAAAGAGAGAACACTGCCTTAAAGATCTTGCCACAAAGGAAGTATGGCTGCATATTATTGTGAATTTAAAAAAAAATCATAATGAAGGAATTATCTTTACAGAAGTGAATGAGTGGCTCACAGAAAAAATCTAGGAAAGGAATAACAAAATGAAATAGAATAATTCAAGAACAAATGTTGAAGAGTAAAATAAGGCCATCACAGAAAGGAAGGTCAAATCAGAAGTATAAGTAACAGAATAATCACTAATGAAAATAAGGCAAGTGCTTGAATAGTAGAGCCAAGGAAAAAGTTGAAATGAACAAAATATTAACATGAGTAGAAAGAAAATGGTAAACTGGCAAAGGGATATCAGCATGCACATTACTGGCACCTTTTAAGGAAAGAACTGTAATAATTAAACCAAAAATATAACCAGATATAAAAATCTAAGAAGCCTGAATTAAAAAGTCGAAAATGCACAGTGTTCCAAGAAAAATAGAGGAGCAGCTTCTATGAAAATTAAATATTTATACATCTTTCATTCCATCAATTCTTTTCTTAAGAACTGTCTGCTGGAAATAAAACGAGTATATATAAAGATAGATGATAAGTATATTTTTGAAATATTGGAGTCAAAGTGACTAGAATCAAAGTGACTACTAATCCATAAGGAATAGCACAAATTTTTGCGTTTCAAATATTTGAAAATGAGAAATTAGCTCTACACCAGATAATGTTTAGAGATCTTCCCCAGATATTGCTGAAGGGGAAAAGCTTGATTTAAAACAGTTTGTAATATCTTATGTTTATAGAAGTAACCATAAACTAAGAAATGAACATGCTCTATACGTGTAGGATTTTTCCCCTTTACTTTTCCCTCTGTTTTGTATATTTTCTAGAATAAACTTCTACTTTTGATAAAGATAAAAAGTTATTTTTGAAAATATAATAACTTTCCATTTTTGTGCATGCATACACATTTATAGAGGAATATACTAACCAATTTTCTTTGCATTATTAAATATACCTACTTTTAGCAAGAAATTTGAGTTCTTTTCTTAAAATTTCTCTTTAAAAAATAAAAATTCTAATAAGTACTGCATTGAGGAAATCTATTCTCTGAAGGTAGAGATCCAAATTTGGATAATCCCTCAGTATATGATAGGGAACTTTTACTACTTATTCTCAACACTAAACAGTTTCTACTCATTAATAAAGTGAAATCAAAAGTTATTCCAGTACTTTGTGAAAGTAATGTATAAGCAAAAGAGGAGAAGAAAAATTTGGAAAAATCATTTAATATCAGGAATACCAGATTAATCTGGTTTTAATTTTTTAAAACCTTTCTGATATTAAAAGACAGTTAAATAGAAGCTACAATCTTTTCAGAAAGATTCAGAGTTA